GCGAACGATTGCGAACGCTTGCGGACACAAACGCAACGACCTCGCGTCGCCTCCTGGACCCCTAGACCCCAACCTTAAAACGGGAACCCTTCTGCTAAACATTCGGGAAAACTCTAACCCCTAATTCCCAAACACTAATCCTAAATCCTAAGCCGTAAACCCTGAATCCTAAACCCTGCACTCTAATTCCTAATTCCTAAAAACTAATATAATCCGAAATTCTAAGCCCTAAACCCTAAATCCTAAACCCATTGCAGGCTTCTCCGCCTTTGTTGGCACCTTGCGTTCGCCCGCAGGGAGGATCTTCTCCTCTTGAGAGGTAGGATTCAGGGTTCGGCGTTTAGGATTTAGGGTTTGGAATGTGGGGTTTCGGATTTAAGGTGTTAGGCTTCAGGGTTTAGCGTTTAAGTTTTACGCTGGGTATTGCCCCCACCAAGTACGAGTCCATCAGCAATAGGAATATCGAGCACTACGTACACATGTTATCATAATTAGCGGCGCTATTAATGGTTTAGGGGTTTGAAATCTAGGTTTTGGTCTGAAACGCTTTTGGAATTAGGATGTGTTTCCCAAAAGTTGGTGTGTCCGGGTCTTCCTGAAATTTCGAAAAGGAGTATAAAGCTTCGATTGTGGGACATGCACATGCCCAAAGGGGACACATTGACGGTCCGTCAACTGGTGTCGTTCCTGCAGTGCGCATACAAGTAGTGTGCTGGGCGAACAAAAGCAGTCAAAGCCAAACAACTGCATGTGGTGCTTTGTGGTTTCTAGGGTTCCGAAAGTAAATCGCCATAGCACCCAAACCCTAAAACTCACCCTAAACCGCAACACAGCAGTCCTCGTAGGTGGTCAAGGAGATCAAGTGAGTGATGCTTGGCACAGTCGAAGCTACAGACATCGGCAAACCAAGCACTGCGCAGAGTGGCATCAGCAATATTCCTCTCATCATGACAAAAGCTACCACCCCCCTCAACCCTAAACCCTTTAAATATTCCTCTCATCATGACAAAAGCTACCACCCCCCTCAACCCTAAACCCTTTAAACCCTAAACCCTAAGCCTCTAAACCCCAAACGCTATACCCGAAGCCCTAAACCGGGAACCCCCTCCCCCTCACCAACCTCTAAAGGCTAACATGACACAGGTCTCCGATAGGAGCGGGACTGGTAATTATTCCCAAGATCTCATGGCCTCAGGTGTAGGGCCTTAGTGTTTAGATTTTTGGGGGGTTAAGGATTTTAGGGTTTGATACGAGAAAAATGGCATGACTGAAGTATGTATGCTGGCAAGCTCCAATCTGAAAAGTATAAGGTAAACCCTACACCCTAAACTTACCCTAAGGGTCCAAGGACCCAAATAATAGGGTTTTAGGGCCCAAATACCATTAATGATCTAGTCTTTGGGACCTAAAAACCTATTGTTTGGGTCCTTGGACCCTTGGGGTTTGGGAACTGTGCAGATTAGATTCAGTGTTTAGAGGGGTTTAGGGTTTGGGTTTCGGGCGGTACCTACAATAGAGTTTATACTATATCAGGTTGATCTCGCCCCACAGTCTGAGCCTCAAACCTGAAACCCTGAACTTCTAAGCCTAAACCCTCAGCCCTTGAACCCTAAACAGTAAACCTTGAACCTTAAACCCTAGATCGCGGTACCTACAATAGAGCTTATACTATATCAGGTTGATCTCGC